TGTAGTGTACCACTAGAGGCAGGGTAGCTTAGCAACTACAATGTCATAGACTTGCATTTTGAGAAGCAGTAATGTACAATCATTGTGTAGCATTGCAAAGCAGGAAGCAAAGCCTGCTAATGAGTAGATATGGCTGCCCCCATAAACATATATACAATTCAAATGTATAACATGTTTTTCATTAATGCACACTGAAAATATTGCTTACACTGTGTTGATCTCTTTTAAATGTCTGAAAATCTGAAACTCGCTGAACAGACTATACATTTCCTTTAAGTGCCGTGGTATTGCTGGCTAGTAAAACATGATTTATTTGGAACCATTGATCTATAAATAGGTAAATAATAAGACCTAATAGTCTTCCTTTTTTCCTGTACATATATCCTCTGGAGGAATGTAACCGATTTAGTGCCCAAGGTAAATAGGCCCTCAAGCACTAGAGGGATAAAATGACATGAGAAAGCACATTAGCACTTAGTCACCGAGGACCCTCTTGGGATCAAATCAGGTTTCTACAGAAGGAAAGTAGTAGGGAATTATGGAATCACTTCCTGGAGTGATCGCTAAAGGAAAAGAAATACGAAGCATATACAACAGCTGCAATAATGAAAGTTAAACATGTTAATATTTGTAAAAACTACAGCTAGGGGAGAAGATAATCAAGTGGTTCTGTATATACTGTAGAACATTATTATTATATTATTATACAGAAGTATAATGCTGGCTACTATACAGCTTATATACAGGTTATACTGTTCAATACATACTATACAATACATACTGTAGGGTTCAATGTTGGCTGTAAGCATAGTAACAAATGTAGGGGATAACCTGTGGGCAATTATCAATTCATTTTTTAATTCACTCACTCACTGCTGCAACACAGGAAGAGAGAATGCACTGTGCAATGTACAGGAATTGTTATTGTAAAGGTAAACTAACCCTTTTAAGGGGTTCTAAACCCTCCGGGTTTTTTTTTGCCTATATCTACTGCTATCAAGCAGTAGATATAGGCAATCAGTTTTTTTTTTTAAACTGCTTTAACAGCGGTTTAAACTTACCTTGTTTTCGCTGCGCGCTCCCGCCTGAGAATCCGAAACTGTTCGGGCGGCCGCAAAGCATATTGGGGCGGGCGCATGCGCAGTTCGGATTCTCGGCCAGGAGACGAGCAGAGACGCAAGGTAAGTCTATGGACGCGTGCACCTGCATGCAGACACCGCGGGATCGGAAGTGCCTGCAAGGACAGAGGAGTCAGCGCTGGATCGGAGAGCTGCCGCACCGCTGGAGGGACAGATGAAAACATCAGGAAAGAAGAAGATCGGATTAAGAGACATGATTTAAGGTAAATGCTTACATTAACATTGGGGGGAGGGAAAACATTTTTATCCTTTAATGTCACTTTAAAGCAGGGGTCTCAAACTACCGGCCCGCAGGCCAATTCCGGCCCACCAGACTGTACTAATCAGCCACTGGATCACCAGGGAATGTGCAGGTGATGGGGCTCTGTCTTTTATTTCATGTGTGTGGGGGGGG